AGGTTTCACAGAAATCCTACTCAAAATTTTAGGTTTTCCTAAAAAATTGAAGGGGGAATTCTACGAAAAGCCCAGATTCATCATAAGGAGGGACATTTAAAATAAAATGTTGTTCGTTCTGCCCTTTATTGTTAATGTATTAAGTATGTGCGTGTCTGTTTCTATGCACACACATAAAAAGTAAAAAAATTACTGAATTACATATAGCACATTGAATAAAAAGTATACAAGAAAGTGTACTATAGAAACATACCCAATAAACCAAGTTACAAGTGATAATGAATCAAGAGAGTTCCAAGTGAACAAACCTGAACCACTGAGACCTGTAATCCAAATAACACATCCTTTCTGTTGAAGCAACTTTTGCCGTTCAGCTTTGCCAACTGAACATTCTTGCCAGACAATGTTTGTAGAGTTCCCCACAGTGCGCATTGAATGGTGGTTCACATCCATTTCTTGAAAAAAAGAAGGCTCAAAATTCAGGTACTGTGAAACAATATGAGAAAATAAAGTAAACCGAACACAACAAATAAAGCATTCCTGCGTGGTTAAGAAGTCCAAGAACCTGGAGCAAACAATCATACCCCTCCACACTGATCAAATATGGCAAATATAAGGGGTGATATCGCTAAATTGAACTATAAACAATCATCCATCATCATTAGTTTCTGCTCAAGAAATATTTTTTATAACAAAATTTGAATGCATCAATTTTTTTGTTTCTATGAAGTGGCCCCTTAAAGTAAAATCTATTTTTCACTAATGCCCCAGCAAAAGTTGGAAGATAACAGAAATTTGTATGCCAAAATCTTCAGTCAGAATCCATAGATGGGTCAAGGGTTCAAAGAGAGATACTTAAGAAATAACCAAACAGTACTTAAAGGAATAATATTATGAGATCACGAATGATTTTAGATATGAAAAAAAAAAAATGTCATTGGCTACTGACCTATGCCATCTCAAATCATATACATATACTAAAATAAATTGCATAAAGAAAGAAATATCCATCTCAATCAAGTAAAACAAAAAAATTGATACCCACAAAATTAGGACAATCACCATTGATAGGGTAATCATAATGAACACAACTGCAGAACCTAAATTTCTAGAAGAGATTATTTTAATGGAGAATATGACTTGTTCGTCATATTAACATGCATTGCATAGATGTTCATTGGGCTATGGCAAGGGTTTGAACTTCAGGTGTAACACATTATGAGAACAATATGGGAATCATATAGTCTGGTACCATGATTCAATCAAAGCCAATCAAGAATGCAATTATATAAACTTGAATATTGTATCAAATAAAGAAATCATTCACATAGAATGTGTTATGTTAATTTCAGAACAGGGGTATTAAATGTCCTCATTACCATAAAACTTTCCATCTTCCTCTTTTGATCTCTTTTCAAATGGATTAAGCTGCTCTCAAATTTAATGCATCAACTTGTTCAAAGTATCATGTTCATACGGACACACAAAAGCTTGAATTAACCAAGGACTGGCACTAGTACTGCATGATGCGTCATGCCAGGTTAAAAATGGGCGAAAGGTGTTAGTACCATGCCAGAGTTGACATTGACTTCACAAATGAAAGATTATGTGATGTCCTTTAACACGTCATGACGAACATAGGAACCGATCTTCCATCAAACATAAATATATTCTCATTTTCTAAATCTGGTATTGTGTACATGACAAAGACCTCCCTTTTCTATTATTCCAATTGTTAAGTTAATCGGAAACTGAACTATTCAAAGGAAGGTTTTCCTGTGAAGTTTCTTTCCAAATCTATTTAGAGAGACAGTTTTAAAGGACCATAGTAAGTTTCCAAAAGAACTGGGCTAGCCCATCAAAGCGTAAACTAATTAATCAAATGTTGAGGCCAAATTTGGACAACCTAAACTGGTCCATATATAATAGTAGAAGTCATAGATAATTGATAAAATAGATCAATTCATATCGTAATGAGCCAATCAAACTGATTGAATCCAATTTGTATAAGAGTTCTTTTGTGTCTTGTTGAGGTTCTTCATGTCTTTTTGGGTCCTATAGTTTATGGGATAAAAGGTACATGTGATATTCCCTTCATGTAAGAATACAGAAGTCATGTGTGCATGTCACAATATGCATATATAACTACTTTGTCGGGTAGTCAGGCGCCTAAGATTTAAGATTAAAGATGCATGCCTAATGCAAGTTATAAAAAACAAAAAATAAAAAAGTCACAGGTTAGTTGCATGGGGGAGATTCCATCCGCACAATGAACAAGATTGAAAAGAACTTCCTTTAACTTCTATCTTTACATGCAAAATTTTGATACAACATCTTTAACCTTTAATGACCAGACAGGAGTCACAGCAATTCAAATTTCAACCAGAACAACATGAGAAATTTAACCAGAATTCAATATCAAATATTCTCATCTTTTCTTCTCTTTTATAAGAGAAAACCATGGTTAATCACTGAAAGCAATTCTAAAATAGATTGGCTCAATTCAACGACGGAACCATAACTTTTCCAACATTTTCACATTCCAATAGAAGATAATGCGCTGAATCAATAAACCCCATCTAAAAGATTCTCCATGCATTCTATCAAATAAGAGCGATTTGGCTCATGGTCGGTTCAATGCGTGAAACCAGCATCATAACGATGATTCCATAACGCAAAGCTAATTCAAGCCAGTGATCATATAATCATTAAAATTTAAAATTTTTAACAAAAAGAAAAAAGAAAAAGAGACAAAGAAAACAACTGCACTCCTTACCCTTCAAATTGCTCGAATCCTCTGTTCCATGAGGAGTTGGATTCTGACCTTCTCCATTCAAATAAGTCATTCTTGACAAACTCGATAAAGGATTACGATTTCCTCCCCCACAATAAGTACTGATTCTCAGTCCGTTCAAATTAGTAGAATTCTTGTAACACAAATTGGGAGGAACCCCAAAATCCTTTCTCTCTCTCTGAAGCCCACCACCATTAAAACCCCAAAAAGCTTCAGTGTTTACAGAACAATTCTTGGGTATTGTACATTCACAACAAGAGCCCCCCAATGACCCTGCACCAAGTGCTATCATCTCTTGTGATCCAACCCCAAAAAAGGGGCAATGGCTTCCTTAAAAAAAGAAGATAGAGAGAAACCCACAAGAGTTTTCCCAACAGAGAGAAACACGGGGTTTTGTCAAATTGACGAGAGAGAGAAACCCGGGTTTTCAAAAGAATGGGGGGTGAGGAGATTGGTATGAAAGTCTCAAAAATAGAAACCCATGTCTGCTTTAAATAGGAAAGAGCAATAACGGCATAAAATACAGAGCTTAGTGGGCGATTTTTACCTGTAATTTGAAGCTTGTCGCTTGCATTTACACCTGGGTTTTCGGAATTTTTATGGCTTTTGCTTTGGATTGTTGCCTGCAAAGAAGCACGAGCATGCAAGAAGTGGATCAGGATCTCACAAGTGGATGGTGATGGCAAAACTGAAATCTACTTTCCTTCTTTCCTTGCTTTGGTTTTTAATGAATAAATACTCGGGTTAACTCCTAATACGTTTTTAAATTAAGGGCTCTGAATCTCAGAGAGAGAGAGAGAGAGAGAGAGAGAGGGGGGACTCCATTTTTTAAACAATAGAGAGAGAAATAGCTTGTAACTGGTTGGGAGTTATGAAAAATAGAAGAGGGGCAGATCCTTTTCCTTCTATTTATTTAGTGTTTTTTTCTCTCATAGCGAGTGTAATAGCATAGGACTAGGGCATATTTTTATAGAGAGAGAGAGATTTTGAGAGAGAGAGAGAGAGAGAGAGGAAAGTGTTAATTTTCCTGAATTGGGGAGATAGTGATGATATCATATGTTATCTACAAAACGGAAATAGCATAGATTTGGTGGGGAGAGATGGAGAAGCATGAAACAAAATGTTTTTTTATAATTTGAAGGAAGTGTCCTTGTTTTATAGAAAGGGAGAGAGGAGTGGTTGTTTTTTTATAATTTGAAGGAAGTGTCCTTGTTTTATAAAAAGGGGGAGAGGAGTGGTTGTTTTCTAGATATAAGGTGTCATGCTTATATTGTACGAGTCAGGTGCACCTAAAAAACCCGAGAAGGTGGTTTTCAAAGCTGAAAATCTCTCAAATCCATCTTCTCGACCACGAGATTCATAAACATGAAAAATAATGGATTTATAGTCCAAAAAATTGTTTTTCTTGCACATTGTATAGAGTATTAGACCAACCATTTTCAATATTTTGTAGTGTTTATAGATCTCTTTGATTGTCACTATTTTTGGAACTTCAAATTTCATGATTAGGAGCAACAACGGATATTCATGTCATTACAAGGCTTTGCGGCACCCAAACTATGTTTTCGACATACTTTTGAAATACACCTTACTTCAATAGTATAAAGTTGGCACCTTATACAAACTTCACCCTTTCTAGAAATAACATGATTTGAGAGTGGACAAGTTGATTGTAGGTGTCTTTTGCCAAGAGAGCAAGCGGATTTTTTCTTTTTGGATTGTATATAGGACTATTTACATTACAAGTGGCTTACAATCATCTAATATTTGAAAAATCGTTTAGGCAGATCACAATCGTCCGAGTATGCTCCGTATCATGAATCTACAGGATTCTTCCTTTGACTCTTGCGAGTTGGCCTGGAACTTCCATTTTTATGTGGGAAACGAGGAATGAATAATTCATTTTTTTGAGAAATTATCAAATATATATATATATTTAGATTATTTGAAAAAAAATTTACTTTTTCAAAACCTCATCCATACCCCTTTTCAGTATTTTCACATTTTTGTAACTAAAATACCTTTCACAAAATTATTAGGTTCGCATCACGGTTCTTTAAGTGAAGTGATGCTTCAAGTGACCACCAGAGTTCTCTAAGTACATTGATGCTTCAAGTGACCATGCCATAGTCCAAAAACGCATCATGGTTCGTTAAGTGTTATGATGCTTCAGGTGACCATCATGATCTTTTGAGTGTTGTGATGCATTGGCTTAGAACTCGTTGTGACCACCGTGAAGGTATTTTCATCAAAAAGATGCAAACAATAGAGAAAAGAGGTATAGATGCGGTTATGAAAATTTTGGGGCTTATTTCTAATAATCTAAAACTTTTTTTTTTCTTTTTTGTAATTTTCCTTTTTATATGAATAAACAATCGCCAGCTATTTTAATCCAATTCAGATCTATTTTGATCTCTTTTGGCTCCTCTTAATATCCAAATATAGTTTTTTAATCTATTTTTACTTTGGGCAACATTTCTTGAACAAAATCTCTTTAATTTCCAAGCCTAAAACTTTAATTCGCCTTTCTTGTATTTTCTCTCAATTGTCAAAAAAAAGTATCCTCATAATAAAATATTTGATTGAAAAGCATAATAGAATAAAATATCAAATTTCTTGTTTTTTAGGACCCGAAAATGAAAATCTTAGTTTCTCCCTTATTGTTTCGTCTCAAAAATGTTTCTTATCACCTTGATCAACAAAGGCCCTAGTATCAACCTTTTATATGATTCTTTTTTTGTTGGGTTGCATGAACAAACTATTTGCTCAATAAAGACAAACTACCTATGGTAAAAATGTTACTTTCATAGAAATTGTAAACATTTTTTCTTTCCTTTTATTATTCACAAAACTACAAATATCCAAATCACTATCTTGGGAAAGGCTCAAAGTGGTAGGAGCCTTGGAAATTGTGGTTGCTCTTTAATTGCAAAATACATACCATTAAATGATATTATTTTTCTATGGAAAATGTTTGATAGGGTTGCAACTCTATCAAAATAAGTAAAAACCTCACTTCATAATTCATCAAAATTGCAATTCAAGCATTTGGAAACCTTTAAATCGATTATCTCAGCTTGAACATTATGTTTGTCAAAAAGAAATTAACATTTCAAGCCATAAATATAGTGCATATCATAACAAATTATCTAGACTGTCCATTTCATCCTAAAAAGTAAATATTCACCCATCTACAAGATCCGTACATTTTAAAGTTTCAAATTTTATTGTCAGTATTGGAAATTGGTTTTAAAGCCATCATAGAGATTTTTATTACCATAAGTGCTCTGGAACAAGGTTTTGATGTGAAGCTTTATTTTGTTTTTCATAAAACATAAGTCTTATAGAAACTTCTTCTTTTTTATATTTTTTAGTTTAATTCATGATTTGTATTAAATAAAAGACACGAGCTTCACGTGAATTTGTTTAAGCCGTGACCCTTTAACGGAATGAGATAATTGTTACGTACATTATGCTCCCTTGAGAGTATACTATATATTTACCCACACAAATGTCCTAGTTTTAAGAACCATTAGAACCTTCGAGGGTCGAACAAGAGATATTATCATTTTACTCTTTGAGATAGAGTGCATTGCTATCATGTGGGTCTATGCCTCTCTCCCTCTCACGACACTCTTCAATCTCCTTCTCTTCTCTTGCTTCAAAGATCTACTCTTTTTTAAATGTCATTGGTTGTATCTCTGACTTGTTTGGACTAAGTCTCCGGAAGGTTGGTTTAAATTGAACTTTGATGGGAGTGTTACAGGTATTGGGTTTGACTACAATGGCCTTCTCCGTGTTATAATGGTGCTCCTTAATCTGGTTTTTCTTGGATAGTCTCCATTCATGTGAGATTAATTAAACAAAACTCTGTGCAGTTAAAATGGGGGTTGCCCAATCCCACAGGAAGATTGTTATTGAACTCCTTGGAGATTGAGCACGATCATGGATGAAATCCTATTGGCACTAGGTAATCAGGAACGACACTTTGTCCATATCTTTCGAAGTGCCAACTTAGACACCAACCTTTTAGCAAAACATGCTACTACCACTTGATTCTACTGTGAGTGGCTGCTTGTGGCCTGTCAAGTTCATGACTTTCATCCTTCGTTTCTTTGTTTTTGTTTCTTGCTTTTCTTTCCCTTGTAATCTTCATTATCTTAATAAATATCGCCATTCTCAAAAAAAGAAAAAGACCTAGTCTTAATATTTTACTGATATGAAATCTTGGTATTCATCTAGGAATCTCTAGATGATTATTTTTTATAAAGTAAATTTTAATTTTGAGCTCTTCAATACTTAGATTTCACCCTTAAAAAATTTGGCAGCCTTTGTTCAAACTAGGACATTATTTTTTTTCAACAACATTAAGAGTGCGATCTTAAATTTCTCTTTTTAATCGGTCCCTAGGTTGAATAGTTTGTATACCAAAATTTCGGATCCTAAAAATACTCCTAGATATATAGTTTTTTCTTGAAGGAGCCAGATATCATCCTCCGGCATTCTCCTTTTATGATTAATAAAGTGAAGTAGTAATGTTGCATTTTACAATCAGTGCTGTATTGTCCTTTGACGATTAATAAAGTGAAGCAATGTTTTGTTAAAAAGAAAAAAAAATTACTTGATGGAGTAAATGGTTAGTATACTCCTACAATAGCACAAAATCACCTAATTAGCTTGGGAGGTACTCATTGGGAATTGTATAAAATAAAGGGAAAATATATCCATACCTCCTATTTTTTTGTTTTATATGTCAATAAACCCAAGGTTCCAAAATACATTTTGGGTCAAAAGAATTTTAAGTTCTATATCTTTTAACCTTCTAAGCTAACTTTATCTTATTTAAACATAATTTTTTGCCCCAAACAAATATAAAAAAAACATATCTTTTCTAAACACCATTATTTTTCTCTCTTCACGTGATTTTCTCCTAAATCTCTCTCTCTACTTTTTTTCCCACTTTCTCTTCCCTCTCCCGTGTCTCTCACACTCTCTCTCTCCCCCCCTCTTCCTTCCCCCGTGTCTCTCACTCTCTCTCTCTCCCTCCCCCTTAGATAGATAAAGAGAGTGAATGTTAAATAGAAACATTTGAAAGGAATATATCACGTAAAGAAAGAAAGGGTTTAGAATGAGCATGTCCTTTTGATATTTGTTAGGGTTAAAGAAATAGTTAAAAATAAGTAAAGTTAGTCAGGAGATTAGGAGATATATTTTAAATCTTTAAGTCTATTGAAATATGAAAACAAAAAATAAAAGGTACAAAAATATTTTTCCTAAAACAAATAAAAGAATAAAACAAAAGAAGGCTTGGGAGATTGTCATTGGAAATTGTACATAATAAACAAACGAATAAAACCACACGACCTGGTAGGAGTTAGGGATATCAAGATGCAAACCGGCACTTCACCATTTCAAGGCGATTTTAAAAACCCTGCCTGAAACATAAATAAATTTTTTTAAAAAGTAAGATAAGAAGCATCCATATCAAAAGACTCTTAAAAGAAAAAAGGGAAATTATAAAAAAGATACTTTAATTTTTGGATTATTGAAAATAAATCCTAAACTTTTCAAAACGTCATCCCTACCTATTTTCTACACTTTTTGTATTTCTTTGAACAAAATAGCCTTCACGGTAATCTTAAAACCGTGAAGGTCATGGGCAATAAAATTCGAGCCATGATTGTCCAATAAACTATCATGGTTCTTTAAGTGTTGTGATGCTTCAAAACTGCGTTTGACTTACAACCTTGCCATGACCATCATAGTTTTCAATAGACCATGATGGCTTCACAGTTTTGAGACTACCATGAAGACCATTTTCATCTACATACCCATAAAAGGAGTATAAATGAGGTTTTGAAAAGTTTAGGGTTCATTTCCAATAATCTAAAAATTAAAAGATATTTTTGATAATTTCTCATGAAAAATTAATAACTTCAACTACTGAGAACCATGTGAATACATAAAACAGAATATTTTTGGACCAGCCTGAGATGAAGAGAAAAGAAAGCGTGTATGCAATGCTCCTGCAGGAGTATACACTATTCTGACTCCCTCACAAAAGGCTTACTTAGGAAGATCTTTTTAATCCGAAATTTTAGGAACCATCTAAAAAATCATTAAATGATTGTGTTC